TTTATAAAGCCAATTTTATTCGATTGAATATTCAAATCTTTCAGCGTAGAGTTCTTGCAAAGTGCATCTACTAATGATTTTCCTCATGATCCAAGAATATTATTTTCAAGACTCAAATAAGTCAACGTGGAGTTCTTGCAAAGTGCATATGCTAATGCTTTACCGTCTTCCGATCCAAGATAATTGTATTCAAGATTCAAATCTTTCAGCGTGGAGTTCTTTTAAAGTGCATCAGCTAATTCTTTTCCTCCTGCTCTAAGATTATTGTCGTAAAGATTCAAAGAAGTCAACGTGGAGTTCTTGCAAAGCGCATCTGCTAATGCTTTTTCTCCTTCTGATCCAAGCTTATTATTCCAATTATTCAAAGTAGTCAGCGTGGAGTTCTTGCAAAGTGCATCTGCCAATGCATTTCCTCTTTCGGATCTAAGATTATTGTCATGAAGATTCAAAGAAGTCAGCGCGTAGTTCTTGCAAAGCGAATCTGCTAAAGCTATTCCTCCTGCTGATCCAAGATTATTTTTACTAATGTCCAAGGAGTTCAAAAGAGAGTTCTTGCAAAGTGCACCTGCTAATGCTTTTCCTCCTTCTGATCCAATATTATTATTTCCAGGATTCAAATCTTTCAGCGTGGAGTTCTTGCAAAGTGCATCTGCTAATGCTTTTCCTCCTTTGGATCCAAGATTATTCTCACGAAGATTCAAAGAAGTTAGCGTGGAGTTCTTGCAAAGTGCATCTGCTAATGCTTTTCCTCCTTCTGATCCAAGATTATTAAAATAGAGATTTAGCGCTGTTAAGGAGATGTTCTTGCAAAGTGCATCTGCTAATGCTTTTGCTCCTTCTGATCCAAGTTTATTAAATTGAAGATTCAAATCTTTCAATGTGGAGTTCTTGCAAAGTGCATTTGCTAATGCTTTTCCTCCTTCTGATCCAAAATTATTATTTTGAATATTCAAATCTTTTAGCGTGGAGTTGCTGCAAAGTGCATCTGCTAATGTTTTTCCTCCTTCTGATCCAAGATTATTCACACAAAGACTCAAAGAAGTCAGCATGGTGTCCTTGCAAAGCACCTTTGTTAACTCGCTTAAATATTTCAATCCACATTTATTATATGAAAGATCCCAAGTTGAAGTACGTTTTCGATCATCAAAACTATGCTGGCTGTCTTTGAGAATTTCCTCATAAAGCTCTATTGCTTTAAAAAATTTGCGTTGCATGAAACAATTGCGTGCTTCGTCTCTCAAATTCTCAAGAGTACTATTGTTCTGCACTAAAGTACTTGAATTTATTGTATCAGATAAATAAAGCGGAGATGACGTCGTAACTTCAAGTGAATTTACAAGTGCACTTGTATTATCTTTACGACTTGGGAAAATTTCATTATTTTGTGATGTGTTTCGATACGATTGCTTTGACTCAAAGTTTCATTAATAAGTAGCTTTAAAGTGTTGAGAATCAAATCGATTCCTGGGCGACTAGCAGGATCGTTGCCCCAACATTTTTTATAAAGTTCAATATATTGAGGTGGTGTACCTTCTATAGGCTCTTCTCTTTTTCCTTGGTAAATAAAAAAACAGATCTCCATCTTTGATCCGAAGGCTTGGAATGGAGGCCTTCCATTTGAAATTTCCCAGAGGATTATTCCAAGGCTATAAATATCTAATCTCTCATCACGTTTATATCCTTGTTTAATAAGACATTGAGGTTCGATATATGCCGGCATTCCAATAGCGGTTGAATTTGAAGTCATAGATGTCTCATTAAACTGCTTTGATAGTCCGAAATCTGTGATCTTTGGCTTACTTTGATGAATTAAAATATTCTTCGAATGCTAAATTGTTGAAGTATTGGTGATTAAGGGGTCTGTATCATTCCATCGAAAATCACTTCAAAGACACCACATTTACCGACAAGCTTATCACAGACGATTTAATTACATACTGTTTACTTTGTAGACGGTATATTTCACTGATGGCTCATTTACAAAAAAGTTTTTTTATAAATTGCACTAGTTTTACCTTTAATCCTAAACTATCCCTAATGACAATGAATAGAATCACTTTGTCATGAAATGAGCAGTCGGTAAAATATACAGTCTACGAAAAAGAACTTGTCTGTAAAACAATCATTTTTAAAATTAGTTTGTCGGTCAAATGGGTGTCTTAAAGAGATTATCGGTAAATTGATCGGAACTGGATTAAAGAATTAAAGATAAAACCCAGTAAAATATCATAGAACTATACTTACAAGGTCTCTATGAATAATTTTATTATCATGCAAAATAAAAACCCGAGTGCTATTTCCTTAGCAATGCGCAGTTTATCCGTCCATTGTAGATTTGTAAAATTAGTCATTAGGTATTCTCGTAAAGTTCCTTCACTAGCATATTGTAAAATCATATTATAATTTCCGTTGTTGTCTATATATTCGGTTTAATAAATATTTTTTAATTAACATTATAATTATTTTATACCAAAAAATTATAAACCGTTTATTCACTTTTCGTGACCCATAGAACATAATAACGTTTGGATGGTAACAAACTTTTCGTAATAGTTTAAGCTAGTTTTATGAATTATGATTGTTTATTATTCAATGGTATGATACAAATAAAACTTTAACATAAAAATAATACCTCATTAATAAAGTCTTTAATAGCTTTTTCATCTATACTTATATCAACTTTAAGACATTTAAGAGCAACCGTTAACTCTGTGTCGACTCGTATTTAAAAACGTTTCCAAAACCTCCACTGCCAATCAAAAGAGGGTCTGTAAATTTTTTGTATTCGATATAATTAACATGCCCATCGAAAATAGCCTTTTCAAGCCATTTTTCTGTTATTTTTTTCCATAGCCTTAGGTATATACTAATCTTAGTTGAAAACCAAAGAATGTGTGTACTGTACATGCTAGTTTTCAGATGCTGCACCATACTTTATATGTCTGCCGTACGTACTACAAGACAGGGCATTTAGTTTCACCAAATTTAGGTTATCAGTTGTTTTTATTTTGGAAATTTTATATATATATAAAATTTAACTGTTTTAATACATAACACCTATACGTTTATTAAGAAAATTCAAATTATACTATAACCTTTTTTTGTGAAGATCAATTAATTGGTAAAAACAACCTTTGGCATAAATTTTTGTACTGTACAACTAAATATATCGTATATATTTGTTACGCATTAATGCGAAATTTTAATAAAGCTGCTGAAAGAGTTGACATTGTGAATGTAATATTTTTTTAAAAAAACTTTTTTAAAATTCTGATGATAATAAAGCTGTTATAATTCGAGCAAATCATCATTGTGGGATATTTTACTTTGAAATTAAAATTATAGATAAAGAAAAATGGACATGTTAATTATTTCCAGACATAAACACACGAGTTTTTTTTTTTTTGTAATTTTTTATTCTATTTCTTGACAGACTAATTGGAATCGGAGATTTTGCAAAGCAAAATGATAAAGAGCTAGACGATTCAATTATAAAAAGAAATTGTATGAATAACATTCTTATGCCTGGTAATAGAAGGTTTCTATATTATTTTTTAACATTACATATTAAAATCATTATAATAATAACTTTTAGGGCAAGAGTCCAAGGAAAGTGAATTGTGGGCTATAGCTACCATGGTGATGATGGATTCTTTTTATTCCAGAAGCGGCGAGTCATATATACTACTGGTGACATGGTATTTTAAATTAAAAATGGAATTAACTTGGGTAATTAACACTTAGGAAGTTTTATATTTTCAAACCGATTGGGTAGAAGTTTAATATTTTAAGGAATTGCGTGAAATATGCCTAACAATTGGAAATATCCTTGTGTTGGTTTGATCACAAGGAGATTCTGTAGAAATGAATGAAAAGACTTCCTAAAAAAGAATTTCCTGCAATACGTGAATCACCACTTTCCAATTCAAAATCATAAATTAGATGTCGTGTGTAAAACTTTTTGGTTTGCATTTTCATCTTCGATTTCATTTTATGATTCCTCATTGTCATAATTGATCTAAATATGCTTATTTTAAGTTTACCGGAATATTCATTATTACTTTCATCATTTTACTTATTAAGAATAGCGTCTGATCATTGTAAATAGTTGATACATTACGAGTAAAAAAAAAATTTTTTTTTATAATTAGATATTTGTTACTGAAGAGTTCAGTATGATTGTAAGAAAATTGATACTAATTGGAGTAAACTATGAAATATCACTATAATGTGATATGAATTTTGATAACGATAAGCTAGACATCATACTTGTATATGCTTGGATAAGATATAAACGGCCCGACCCGATTTGATACTCACAACCTTAACATTTGATAAGTTATTATTATTGTTATAATTATTATTATCTTTACGGGATACGATGATACTGTTTTGATTTGCTATTAACGATTTTTTAAACGCAGTACTCCAACTAATTTTCATTCAATAGGCACGATGTTCATGAAGCTCATGTGTGTCTTGGATTATTAGTAAATGTAAATTATTAGATTTCTAAACAGGAGCCCAGGAACAAGTTTCATGCAAGATTAAAATTACCATAAATGCAATGATGAAAATTCATGAAATGTATGATTAGTCTGTACCGAATTTGAAAAGTTACCGGATGCTGTATCTCTGTGTAAAGCTAAAACCAAAATCGGTTAGTTAGACTACGTAGCAATAGAAAATAATAGTATAATCATTAAATCATGTGTAACGATATCTTTTACTCAAACGTGTACGCTTCTTTTCTCTATAATTTTTTCAATATCGTAATTCTGAAATACAGGTATTCATAGGTTGGCCAATTTTATTACAATTGTTGATGAAAAGTAAGATCATAAATATTACAATAAAGTTCAAGTTAAAGATAGTCTTTATACCTATAAATTTAATAGAAAAAAATTCACATTAAATAAATAACATAGTGTTTGATTGTTAAACCACATCTAAGTATTAGATTACTCAATTACATAGTAAATTAATATAAACCCTTGCCTCTAAATTTGAGATAGTGGTGCAATAATCGCTAGAGTATCTAAAATATTCATATGATTTTTCAACACATTTTTACCTAATGAAATATTTGCTAATTATTAGAAATCGATAATTACTTGTTATTTCGGTTATCAATTGCAATTATTTGATTAATCGCTAATTGGTACCTCACTTAAGATTGAATGGTGTTTACGTTCGCTCCCAAATTTATTCAGTTGTTTAAGACCCATAATACTGATAACCTTATTTCCTGACAATAAACTTTCCAGCAGCTCATTTTGCTGATAGAAGTTTTCAATAGTTCTTTCCTGATCAAACTGATTCGCTACCTGATTTTAGTTTTAAGTGTTGGAGAATGGTTGTTTCAGATAGATGACTTATTGGAAAAATTTGTTATTGGTAAAATAATGAAAACTTGGAAAATTTTGTTATTGATTAAATAATGATTTTTTGGAAAAATAAGGTATCAAAGTTATGCCTTGTCAGTAAAATAAAATATCTGCATTATATGATATCAAGAAAAATAATTTTCGTAAATTTAACTTTTAACTGTTTTTAGTGTATTTCTGCATTTGTACAAATGTACAAATATAAAAACTTAATTCATTAATTTATCTAATTCATTATGAGCTTACAGCTTTACTGTGATCATCAAATGATTGACCATCACATGGAATCTCTAAATTTAAGGCTTTTTTTGCAGATAAATCTAAATTTCTTGCTAACAAATAACAATTCCCAAAATTTCTCTTCTATTTTCGTTTTTTCAATATTTTATCAAGAAATATACAAGAGCTGGTTGTTTGTGCAGCCAAATAATGCGGGAAATCTCAAGTCCTTTTTTGTATCATATTTATTAATTTTTTTTTAAACTTTGAACGAAGATATATTGATAACCGCCAAGCCAAATTCGATAACCTTTTTTTTTATTAAATTCTGCGAATTTGTAGAATTCAAATAAAAAAAAAAAAATTATCGAATTTGGCTTGGTAGTTGCTTTCTTCAAAAGTTTATAAATTCACAAAATAAAAGTTGTGGCAGAATTTTCGAACATTGAGCGAAGATATCTCGACAACCACCAAGTCAATTCAATGAACTTTTTCTTTTTTTTGAATTCCAAGCATCTGTAATATTCAAATAAAAAAAATTATGAAATTTGGTTTGATTGTTGTCAGTATATCTTCACTCAAAGGTTTAAAAACCTCAACTAGGGATGGCAACGGCTGGTTATTTTCGGCTAGCCGTTTTGTAGCCATTGGCTGTATCTCGTGATCCAGTAATACAAATGATATGATTTTACCACCATTTGATTTGTCTCAATGGGACAAATCTAATGGACCCAAAATAATCCGATTTGGATCACTGGATAATGAGATACAGCCAAAGGCTATAAAATGCCATTTCTAATCTCAACGTCTATCAAAATAGAAGCTGTGACAAATTCTAAACTTTGAGCAAAGATATCTCGTCAAATATTAAGCTAATTTTGATCCACAAACATGTAAAATTCGAATTAAAAAAGATCGAATTTGGCTTGGTGGCTGTTGAGATATCTCGTTCAAAATTTTTCAAATTTGAGCAAAGTTATATCGACAACCACCAAGTCAAATTCGATGAAATTTTTTTTATTTAAATTTTACAAATCTGTAGAATTCAAAAAAAAAAAAAAAAAAAAAGATATTTTCGCTCAAAGTTTAAAAAAAAACCAAACCGCCTATCAACATAATTAACCATAGCTGCCGAAAAAGCTGCCCATTAAGTGAAAATTGTTCCTGGGTCAATTTTACCATAATGCGAGCTTATTTCTTAAAAATTTCTATTTTTGTA